AAAGATATCACAAAGCACATGTAAAATGTTATTTGGTCAGAATGAGAGACCTGCATGCCCCTAGCATCCTGATATGTGAAGATGAGCAGCTTTCCCTTTTGGACAAAACAATTCTCCAATTAATATGTAACAGACTGAGAAAACATAGTGCTATGATTTTTCCCACTGATTATTTAGATGTGATAGCCACAGTTCTAGGTCTTTGTGGCTAGGATGGAATACAAATGCTTGAGAAGACCTTCCAAAGCACTGTTTGTGTTTTTTAACACACACAGTGCAGTAGCTATTTTCTACATATTCTTCTCTTCTGTGTACTTTTGCATGGTAGATAGTAACTAATTTGAACAAGAGTACATTGTGCACTAGTTAGTTGAAGTACAATTGCCCTAGTCACAAATAATATGGGAACTAAAACTCAACTTCAGCAGTAGTGGCTGAAGGAAAAGTAAGTCCAGGTGTAAACCAAGCGAAATCTGTGCTTTATTATCCCCATCATGCTTATGCTTTAACAGTTCACTGTTCATACTAAGAATTTTCAATGCTTGACTTGACAGAATGAAATTTAAAATGTGATATTTTAAATCACCAGATTCTCATTTTGGCTGGGACCATTCATATCCAGATGAATTTTGGGCCTACCAGCAGAACAAAAGGAAGCCTCACTCTGCTGAAGGAGAAGTATATATTATTCGTATAAAACTATAAAAGCCTAAGTAGAAAAAACTCCACTGATGCAAAGTGCATGGATATTCTCACGGAAGAGAAAAAGTTCATTTACATCCTAAATTCAGGTGCCGGCGCTGTGATACTGGGACAGTTCACCACTGAAGCCGCCCCAGGGGAACACCAGCTCTCCCACTCCTTTGGTCAGGCTGCGACGGAGAAGGGCTTTGCTGTGAAAACTCCAGAAGACAGCGACTTTGACGCATGCTGCCCTGATGGATCCAGAGGATGCCAGGAGGCTCTGAGGACTTCTTTCCCTTGCCTGCCCCATTAATTTTAACAGAAGGGGGTCAGCGGTCTAACAGCCTCTTACCTTCCCACCCCTGTCCACCCTCCATTCCTGGCCACCACCACTCCCCCCTTCCCCAAGCCGCACGCTGCACATGGGCACGCACCCAGGGAAATGACTCGCCTCCAGTTCCCCTCCAGTAACGGGCCCGTTACCGCCCCGGGGACGCGGCCACGCCGGGAGCTGCGGCGGAAGCACAGCACAGCGGGGGGCAGTGCCGCCCGCCGGCTCGAGGTGTCGCCCTCCCCCGCGTTCGGCGGGGCGCCGTGCTGCTCCCATCGAAAGCGGAGCGGGTCAGAGGGACCGACGCTTTGAAAAACTCAGTTCCACCTTATTTTTGCGTTTAGATACGCTACTCAAGGCAGCGCCGAGTGTGCAGAGCAGGGAGAGCCTGAGAGGCAGGCATCATCCATCTTTTCTGCCCCACCCTTCCGGACCCTTCCCGTCTAGATGGCTAAGCACAGCGGCGACTCGCTCCCTGGTTTGGCCCATGGTCTGTTGGTTTTTCTTTTTGAAGAGATACAGTTTGGTCTAGACCATGTCAGGCATTTCACAGCTACAGATCACATTTAAGGAATCAAACCAGGGAGCTTGGATAGTTAGAAAACACGGCTCAGAAACCACTGTCAAGCTGCCCACAAGGGGTGTTCCCCAGGGCTCAGCACTGGGGCCAGTTCTGTTCAACATCTGTATCAATGACTTGGACGAGGGGATGGAGTGCACCCTCAGTAAGTTTGCAGCAACACAAAGTTGGGTGGGAGTGTGGATCTGCCTGAGAGCTGGAAGGCTCTGCAGAGGGATCTGGACAGGCTGGATCAATGGGCTGAGGCCAATTGTATGAGGTTCAACAAGAACAAGGCACCAAATCCTACACTTGGGTCACAACAACCCCATGCAATGCCACAGGCTTGGGGACAAGCAGCTGGAAAGCTGGCTGGCGGAAAAGGACCTGGGGGGGTTGATCGACAGCCAGCTGAACATGAGCCAGCAGTGTGCCCAGGTAGCCAAGAAGGCCAATGGCATTCTGGCCTGCAACAGGAGCAGTGTGGCCAGCAGGAGTACCAAATCCTACACTTGGGTCACAACAACCCCATGCAATGCCACAGGCTTGGGGACAAGCAGCTGGAAAGCTGGCTGGCGGAAAAGGACCTGGGGGGGTTGATCGACAGCCAGCTGAACATGAGCCAGCAGTGTGCCCAGGTAGCCAAGAAGGCCAATGGCATTCTGGCCTGCAACAGGAGCAGTGTGGCCAGCAGGAGTAGGGCAGTGATTGTCCCCCTGTACTGGGCACTGGTGAGGCCGCACCTCACACCCTGTGTTCAGTTTTGGGCCCCTCACTACAAGACAGACACTGAGGTGCTGGAGTATGTCCAGAGAAGGGCAACAGAGCTGGTGGAGGGTCTGGAGCACAAGTCCTGTGAGGAGCAGCTGCGGGAACTGGGGGGGTTTAGCCTGGAGAAGAGGAGCCTCAGGGGAGACCTTATTGCTCTCTGCAACTACCTGCAAGTAGACTGCAGAGAGGTGGGGGTTGGCCTGTTCTCCCCAGCCACAAGCAATAGAATGCCTCAAATTGTGCCAGGGGAGGTTTAGACTGGATATTAAGAAAGATTTCTTTACTGAAAGGGTGGTCAGGCATTGGAACAGGCTGCCCAGGGAAGTCATTGAGTCACCATCCCTAGAGATATTTAAGAGATATGTGGGTGAGGTACTGAAGGACATGGTTTAGTGGTGGTATTAGCAGTGTTATGTTAACGGTTGGCCTTGATGATCCTGAAGGTCTTATCCAACATAAAATATTCTATGATTCTAAGTCATCTGATCAAGGGAATCTCAATGCTAAGTTTGTCAAGAAGACCCATATCCACACTAGCCTGACAAGAGCTTCTTCCCCTGGCAGAAACCAAAATCAGAGTTGCAATCATTCTTGAATGGGTTCCCCCAAGATGTGGCTATTGAGCAGAGGGGAACTCCATGCTTGATCCCACTCCATACTGACAGAAAAAGAGCTGCAAGCAGACTGTTTTGTGCACAGCGTGCTGCTTGCAGTGTGCAGACCTATGCTGTAAGGTTCACCACTTCCATATGTAATGAGGATGGACCAAGGAAATTACTTTTTGCCTCCAATACTTCTGTGTGTCAAAATGTGTGTAAATTTGTTCATAGCACGGAATATAATAAATAACTAAGAAATATATATAATAATAACTGCTTATTTCAGAGGAAGAGAAGACAACCTCTTCTGTAAAGTTCTCTCCTTCACATCCTCAGACCTTTCTAACACTGAGCTTGAAAAAACACCATTTCTTAGAAGTGGACTTGGGCTGATAAAGTGTAACTGTGTTAAACATGACAAAATAACTGCAGAATGGGAGGTTATCACAATTGCTTTCACTTTTTCACAACAGCCTATTAGTGTTCTTTTACAGTAGAAACTGAAGTGCTCAGTTCCTTCAGCTTCTTCTTCCTTTAGTAAGAAGCAGAAATGCTTGGTTTATTTGATCAAACATCAGGTTTAGTTTCCACTTTGTATCTCAGCTCTCCATTTTAACACATATGACTCAGAACTTTGTCCTTCCAAAGGATGAACTTTGGTTTAAGAGTATAAAATGCTGAGTTCCTATCTGTGGTGGTGGAAGTTAAGATCCTAGACAGATAGTTTTTATTTTCTTCGTTTGAGCAATGGAAAAAATTCTTCCCCAGTCATTCAGTACAAACTACCTCTAGAAATACCCCACTCCCTCTCAACTATCTCCTGTGCTAAGTTAGGTACCAGGTATTATAAACTAGCTATGTGATCTCCATTCTCATGTGCTTTAATTTTAAGGTCTTGTGGAATGATAGAAACTATCAAAATGTATTTACTTGCTTCTTTCATTCCTTATATTTTAGCTGCAGTGATATCACCACATATTTTGTGACAGCTCTGCCTTTCAGCGTCTTTTACTCATAGAAGAATCAATCCACCTCCTTCAGCTCTGTCTGTGGCTCATAAAGCCATTGATAATATCTCTGTCATTGAAATCCCATGGTTCAAGTTGAATCAGGGTTACTGCTCGACCCTGAGAGTCCTCACAGACAAGGCTCTGCTTGGTCTCCTTTTCACTCTGATTTCCCCGTCGTATCTGTGTGGCGTCTGTTCTTTCATTTATCGTCTGTGCCGGGGTAGAGGCATTCAGTTGCACGGCTGCACACTACATTAGTTATTCAAAGCACTGATGCTTTATGAAAGCGGCCTGCAGCCATCAGACAAGAAATTATATAGGTTTCTAACAGAGGAGAGACAGATGTCAGTGTACATTCTCCTGTGGGAAGAACAACTAGTTTTATAAAAAGAGCACTGCCCTAGTTTTTGAAAGGTAGAATGAGTGGCAAGGTTTGGTGCCCAAGTATTTCTGGAGAGTGGCACGCAAGGGTCAGTTTGATCACTAATCACTTCCTTCTCTTTTTTGTAAACCTGTAGACCTTGGACTGTATCCTGACTATCATGGAGAGCTGAATTTAAGAAGAAAAATTATCTAAAGGTGATAATGGAAATATTGTATGAGATTGGTAAATGCACTCAGTTGGTGTAAACAGTTCATTTGTAAGTTACCCATGTGCTAGGAACTCCCTGACAATGAGAATGTCCATTGCTAACAAAACATAACCAGCTCTTGTGCCCTCTGCCGCAATCTCCAGTATCAGAACAGGCAAAAATTAATGGAAAACGAAAATTATTTGTTTGGAGTAATTGTTGAAAAGGGAAAGAAACAAATTATCAAAAACAATTCCAGCACTGCAGTTATTCTCAGACCAAACTTCTGGACCTTTTCTCATATGAAAAGGAAAGGAGACAATACCCATGAGAGATACTAACACATCAAAATCCCACTTCTCAGATGTCCGTTTGGCAAAGTTTCCCATTCATTGGCAGAAGAGACACATATGAAAACATGCAGCATGAGTGTAACAAAACAGAATATCCTGAACGTGCCAGGCATCGTCCTACCTTTCCTGGAGCCCCACAGGTTTCATTCTGAAAGGAGATGGACTGGCACACGGGAGAGGTTTGAGCTCAGGAACACATTGGCCTTGAGGGTCCACTACAACATTGACCACCTTTGGAGCCTGTTCAGGCTGGACCATGCTGTTGGTGGTCTTATACTCGGACTGCGATGTCTGCAGTGGAAGGGGCGAGAGGTGGATCTCCTGCTTCTTTTCTTTCTCTTGTCTCAGTGACAACTGGATCTTCTCCTTTAATCTGTACAGAACCTACAGAAATAAGAGGAAAGCCCAATCTCAATTCCCTGGTAAACAAGGCAAGGAAAGTATCACAAATGCTGGATAAGATTGCTATACGTGGCTTTGATTCCTAGAAGGTAAGCCACAAGTTGTGTTGCAGAACGTTTCCCACAACAAGATAAATATTTCCATTACATAAACCCCAGTGTGTACGCGTGGGTGGTAGGGATTTTAACAGTTGTCATTGTGAGCCAGTAGTTACTTGTAATACCAGCAATCGTATTATTAAAGGGGCAAATAACATAGAATGGAAAATAGTTACAAAAGACACCGTGAAGAAGGATACATGGATAGAGTAATTGCAATAAAAGCTCTAAGAATTTTAACACAAGAGAGACAATGGCACAAAATAAAATAGATCATAGAATGGTTTGGGTTGGAAGGGACCTTAAAGATCATCTAGTTCCAACCCCCCTGCCATGGGCAGGGACACCTTCCACTAGACCAGGTTGCTCAAAGCCTCATCCAGTCTGGCCTTGAACACTTCCAGGGATGGGGCATCCACAGCTTCTCTGGGCAACCTGTTCCAGTGCCTCACCACCCTCTCCGTGAAGAACTTCTTCCTGAATGAAGACAATGCTCATGATATATCCAGGTACATGTCTCTATTTATAGCAGCCTCAATTTGTTTCAGAGCAGACATTCTTAAAAGCTCTTGCTTCTTTTGCATGGAGCTGATGGTTGAATGGAGTAACTTTACTATGCCACTTTTGTAACGGTAGGATGCTACTGCTCTGAAATACTCCTCAGGATGAGGATATCCTTCAGTATCCTCAGAGAAACATAACCTGTTCTGAAGTAAAGTTGAAGCTATTTAAGCATCTGTTCAGAAAAGGGTGGTTTTACAATTACCAAGACATTGACGTCTGAACATATTGTAATAGCAGGATTTTCTGTCCACCTATTGCTTATGAACTTGGATGTCAGATATCTGCAGCAAAAAGCTTCTCAGAAGTTGTACTGATCCTCTTCCACTGAACTAACATTGCTGTACACCAGCTTGGGAAGGGCTGGCAGGTAGCACGTGCTCGATAATGCCTCTCCAGAGGAACCTGTGTTACGCCTATTTGACACATCTTGGCTCTCTTGAGGGGAATGCAAAGAACAATTTCAGAGCTGTAGCTGTGCCATTTTCAAAATGTGCCTTACAAACTGTGAAACTTAATGACAATTACTATCCTAAGTATTGTGTGTGGAGGTGCGTGAAAGGCACTTACACAGCTTCTTGAAGATGTCTGCAGATACCCTTATACCTTCTGTTCTGCTTTATCTCTTGCCATAAAGCATTCAAATTGAATCCTGGTTTGTAAAGCCATAAAGACAAAGCCTAGACCAAAGCATTTTCCCGCTGCAAGTCAGAAGCTCTTTGGCAGCTGTTGCCCCTCCTACACTGCATAAAGATCTATCGCTCCATAGCTTTCCAGTGAAGACTGGATATATCTGATGGGTTTGTTTTTTCAAGGATTAGCATTAGAGGTTTAGCTGGGAACTGACCTAATGTCATTAGCAATACACCCATTAAATAAGACTTAGCTATGTAAACCATCTGTTCATTCAGAAGAGTTTAGAATTAAATTGCATGGATAAGATAAGCTGCTCTTTGCCACTATTTCTTCAGAAAAAAAACCAGCCCTGCTGTGAAGCAAGGACACAAGTATCAGTAAAGATAAAACAGAGGTCTGAAATATTTTTACCTTCTTTTCCTACAGTGAATTCTTTGGTTTCATTTGTTTCTGGTAACTCACAGATATGCAGCTCAGACATTCAGGATCATGACAATGTTAACTGTACCTTCTTGTCACTGATACATGTTGACAGTATTGTCCCTTGGAGACTCAGGGAATTACGTATTTGACTTCCAAAAACCCGGACGAGTATTATTTCATATCCTTTTTAATACTCTATTATTAGACCCTAAGAAAAAAGATAGCCTGCCACCAGCAGAAGTTGATACAAAGTTAAAGAACAACATTTGATCTGAGAGCTAGAACACTTCCCTCAGAAAGAGTGGTCAGGGCCATCATGTTTTTAATGAATTCCACGCGAAAGTCAAACAAACAGAAACGGCCAAAAAGCCAGTGATCAACACAATCACCAGGCCTGCAAAGGGAACAACTTAGCTGTATTTATATTCCAAATCAGTTTAAACACATCCATCAGTATGGATGGAAACGGACATGAAGCCCCTAAATTAGGAAAAAATTGATGCTTTAGTGACACCCCAGAAGATTCGGTGTGAGGATGATCAAGAGGCATGGTGCAAATGAACCACACAAAGTACTATTTTCCAGGACACACAAGGTGGGTCACCTGTAATTTTTTCATATATGCAGTCTAGGTTTCCAACTCACAGTCCAAAAGGAAAATAACTCTTTCTTCTACTTCCTCTTTGACTCAGCTTATATGGAAGAATGACAGGGTGATGACAACATGACACTTTCTCTTTACATCTCTGCTCAGATTTCTGCAAAGGAAAGATGGTGTTTAACACCCTAGCTTGGCCCGTACCTCCTACCTACCCATTCAAAATACCAGTGGAAACTGCTTTTACTCATCTTCAGAGATTGACAGGAAATCCCAACGAAATAACTATGTCTCCAGAACAAAGATCTTAGCAATGGCTATGTGGAGCAGTGATCTGCAAGCTCATCTGCCTAGAGATATTTAGGGCACTCAGGACTGTATAGTAAAATCTCCCAGAAACCATGGAAATAAAGACAGTTCCCTCTAATTAAAAGCGTTCTCTCTAACGAATACTTATCAACATGTGTGTGAGGCTGTGTGTGTATCTCCGCATGAGCAGAGCTATTGTGCATGTGTATACATGAGAAGAAAATCAGCTAACAAAATTTCCCTCAAACCCCGGGGAAGGGATGAAAGAACAAAAATGTGACAGATGTTAGTCATGGTGTTTGACGCATCACTGGGAGGCATCTGGATACCATGATCTGAACACACTGTAAAAAGTTCTACAGAAGCAGAATAAAGAATGTAGACAATCTAGGACCAGTTTATAGATTAAGTCCTTAATTTCAGGTTGTCTTAAACACTTTTCTGTATGATAAAAATGCATACTGTTAATTTAAATCTTTAAACTGGCAAAAGCTGAAGTTGATAGGCTGATGTTAGTTACTCGTATATATTCTATAACCAAAGTGCTTTCAGAAGACCTGCATGACTTTATAAATCCTGAAACTTGTAATTTTAGGAACAATAGATATGTCATGTGAAAATTTGATGCTGGAATGATTTTTTTTTTTTATTCAATATTCTTCCTGTTAAAGTTGTTATAAAATACAATTATAAAGCTGAAAAAATATTTGTCATTGAAGTGACTACCTCCCCAAAACATCAAATAACTATTCATAACTCACAAAACATTGGAGACAGTAGTAAAAATTTATATCCTCACAATCTGCTGACAAGGCAAAGTTCATGGAATCATATATTTATAGAACAGTTTGGCTTGGAAGGAACCATTTAAGATCACCAAGTCCAACCCCCCTGCCACAAGCAGGGACATCTTTAACAGGTCACATTGCTCAAAGTTGGTATCTTTCATTAATTTAAATGGTAAAAAAAGCCTACTTTTTGAATTTTTTTTTAGTGGGAAGAAGAAAAACATTTAGAAAATCCTCTTATCACAACTAGCTACAAATATTTCATAATCTGAAGGTGATACTTCCACACTATTCAACAGATACTTGAACGCACATAGTAATAAAAAATATATGCAAACATACTGGGTTATTAAAACAGGCAAATCTAGTAAGAAATAGGATAGCAAATTATTTAACTTACTGTCAAATGTTGTGTTATTTAGTAAATTTGCTGATGGCTCAGTTATTTGTCTATCTATGTAAAATAAAAAATACAGACACCTGTTTTATACATAGAAGTGCTAAAAATGTTTTTTCTTAGTTAGCACTTTGCCTGGCAAAACTTTATAAATGAAGTTCGATGTTCCCAGTGGGAGTGGAAGTCAGCCCATGGTCAGTCCATGACGAGGACAGCAATGAGCTGTGTGTTGACCTCCACATATGATGAATCACCCCTGGGATGCAAGAGGTTCCTGTACCACGACAACGAGGACTAGCTGAGTAAATACATGAAACGGCCTCAGAGGTACAATTTACAAGTCCGAATTTAGCTCATGTGCTGCTGTATTACATTGTTCAGCGATACTCTGAGCTGTAGTTTTTTATGTATAGAGGCCAGATATTTGTTAAATTCCAACCAAGCATTAAGAAGCCTAAAAGCTGTTAAAGTACAGTGCACTCTCTGCACAGGGAAGCGTCATGATTTGTAAAATCCAGTTAAGAGACAAGGCCGTACGTTTTACAACTTCAGCAGAAATTGCACAGAACAAAGCAAGAACACCAACACTTCAGCTGCCTTACACTGAGCACTGGGGATCATCATAATCATCACTTCAAGTACTTCCCACTCTACACTTTAAAGGCCACTTCCAAGTCATCTACAGATGCAGGCTAAAGTTTCCGCTTTTGCACGCTCTACACTACAAATAACCTGTGGACAAACAGGTGGCTACTCTGTATCTTTAAAAAAGAGGCTGCCTTTTGTTGGTCTCACATGGTTGCTACAGCTAAAGCTAGTTAGGATGACCCCTAATGCTTTATGCTAAAGCTAAATAGTCTGATAGACTGCAATGTCTGAATTTGAACTACTGAATTCCTACTTTTCATAAATCTGCCACTCTGACACACATAAAGTAGGATAAAAAACAATGTGAGCTGTCTGTTGGCCTTGTAGATACTCCATACATCAGCAGGTCCCGGCAAAATCCAAGACAGTGTGTGTTTACACAGCCTGAACAGTAGCACACGTAAAGACACAGGGTGGACCTGGGAGGGGACAGAAAGGAGAAGACCTGCAGAGAAGACCACAGCATCACAGTAAATCCATCTGGAAGGGAGTTCAAGGAACCTACTGGTATTTACCTCTGCCATAACTCCAGATCACCTATACCCAAACTATTCCTGACAGATGCTTGCCTAAAACCTTAATGGGTGAAAACTCCCGAGCTTTCCCAAGCAATGCATACAGGGTCTTGTGACCCATGCAGTAACAAAGTTCTTTCTAATGAGTCAGCTAAACAACCCTTTCAAAAATTTGCTTCTTTACCAGTTGCCAGTGGAGAAAGTATTATCTTATTCCTTACCACAGCCTTCAAAATCTTTCCATGTTTGAGAACTATCATGTTTCTCCTTGCTCTACTTTTCTCTGTCATAAATAAACCAAATTATTTCATCACTTCTGTATCTCTGATCATTCTTGGATCTCCTCCCTACTATAATTGCCTGACATTTTTCACAAGTGAGACCACAGAGTATGAGAAAGACATGCTGCTATAACCAAATTATAACCAGAGCCAAGCCGAACGCAGATCTTGGACATCATGTCCTCATTGATATCCAGGGGGACTTTTTACAAGGGCCTGTAGTGACAGGACAAGGGGTAAAGGATTTAAATTGAAGGTGGGGAGGTTTAGATTGGATATCAGGAAGGAGTTCTTCATGGAGAGGGTGGTGAGGCACTGGAACAGGTTGCCCAGAGAAGCTGTGGATGCCCCATCCCTGGCTGTCTTCAAGGCCAGGCTGGATGTGGCTTTGAGCAACCTGGTCTAGTGGAAGGTGTCCCTGCCCACGGCACGGGGTTGGAACTAGATGATCTTTAAGGTCCCTTCCAACCCAAACCATTCTGTGATTCTATGATTTATTTATACATCCCAGGGCAAAAAATGTAATTTTTGCAACCAGGTGATGCTACTCTTTTACTTCAGTGAGTGCTCTGTGGTATTGCTGAAACTTTTGTCCCTGTCAAGCAGTTTTCCTGTTACTTCCTATTTTTTCTCCAGCACCTTAAGAATATTTCAAGTTCTGGCACTGTCCTCCACAATGCTTACAATTCCCACTACGGTCTACGCATTCCAAATAATTAATGAAAATATTGTGTAGTACCCGGGCAAGGAGAGACAGCATCTTCTGTACCCTTCCAGTTAAACAGTCAGTAATATCTGCTTCTCCAAAGTAAAAATTATGAGTAAAAGCTAGTACTTCTAGAATTATCCTCCTATTTTTGGGTGAGATTGCATAGAGAAATGGAGATGACTAGGAAGTAGAAACTATATAAAGCAACATTTTTTTGTGAGAAAGTAAGTGTTTTTCAAATCTGAGGGAGAGTTTAGAAGTTTAAGCAAGATTTTGTTATAAATGTGATAATTTACTAATATCTTCAGTTTAAACATTCTTTCCATCTTAAGGTTGTAAGTGGGAAATCCATCTAGGTTAAAGAAAATGAAATATGATTGAAAGCAGAATATCTCAAAAGACTCCAAGATACTATGTGTGCATAAATGCTGAGAATTGTCATAGAATGTAGTAAGCCCATATATTTATGCACTGCAGAAGAACTGTACAATTCAGAGAAGGAAAACACGTCAGATACAACATTAGAAAAAAAATGCAAAAAATTACCCTACAAAAGTTAGTGGTGGTGTAGTGCTGTTTATCTTCTGTGCGACCCTTCCGTATCTTATATTCAGCATATTAGAATGGACATTTTGGGCATTATGCCCAATTATGGGCATTATGTCCAATGCCCAGAAACCTATCTACTGAGTCATACTATGTCAACAGCAAAGTTGTTAAAAAATATGATCATTCCTTCATGTACTTACTAGTCATTTCAGCTTAAAATTTGTATATTTGATACATGAATAACAACACACACTAACAACTGTGCATTGACAGTATTCTATCAATGTGGTGTTGGGTTTACTATCCAATAAAACTGAAATACAGGCAGCTAATGTGACTTCAGGGATCCTGGGAGCTTAGTAAGAAGCTTAAGAAGTCATCACTACCATCACTACACAGTTACTCTGTAGATTTAAGAGCCCATTATTTATTTCTTCAGCTTCCTTCTAGTTACATTCTTCAACTGGTCTCAAAATATATCATGAAACGCGGTTCTTCAAACGTCAGCTTCACAGCATTATGAGACTGACCAGCTCTTACCTTGTAGATGAGTTTTTAATAATTCTGGGAAGACACCTCTCATGTAAAGAATGTGTGACTCTACCCTTCAGACTGAGAAAAGCATGAAGTAAAGAACAGCAAAAAAAGGGTAAAAAGGAAACTTACCATTAAACAAGTTACTAAAATGACAAAGATGCTGAGAAATATGACGACCGCGTAAAATCCTTCTTTGCTCCAGATCTTGTCTGCTTCATGCTGGCCTTGCAAAACATTTTTCTTTTTGAAGCAATAAAACAGAAAGAGGAAGAGAAAAAAAGTCACACAGTAGCGTGCGCAGATTAAATAGCTCTCGTTGGGCATTAATCACCCTCCTCAGCTTTGTCACAGTTCACATTCCACAGTATATGGCACACACTTTGAATGCTGCTATGTGCATACCCACCTCGGCCAGGCACCCCACCTGCGCTCTGTGTCTGTGCGAGCCGGCGTCCTAACACTACGCAAGATGATCTGAGACCTTCTCCGCGGCTGCTGAGATCATCCTCCACCAGGCGTCATGGGCCAGGTGAAGCTAACCAAACAAGACCTTGTTCAAATCAGGTCTTTCTTGGAAACTACCTGGCTCGTCAGGAAGCGGGGCAGTGCTCCCGCGTGGGATGGGGGAACCGCTCACCCTGCCTCCTTCTCCCCGCTGCTTATCTCCGGTCGCAGCACCCACGTGCCAGCCTCGGGACTGTTTACAGTTGACACAGGAGCAAAGAGCAGGTGACTCGCTGGTTTGCCTCCGTGAGCTGGGAAGCCCTGACACTGTCACCTTTTGATTTCACACACATGAACATGTGCATACGTAAAAAATTGTGATTATGCTGAAAGTAATCTCATTATCCATCTATCTATAATTCTGATTATGATTAAAGTAATCTCATTATCTTTGGTTTCCTGCTTATAGTACATTTCTAAAACAGCTGTGCACACTCAAATTTCCAGAACTCCTGGGGAACTCCTGGGGATTACGAAATAATAATAATTGTTAAAGCATTTATTTTTGGCTTTATTGCAGTGTGGGGACTTGGTTAGGCTATTAAATTACCAGAATGTTTCCAAATAGAGATTTGTTAGTAGAAGCAGGGTACATGTACCCCCAGCTTAACTGCAATGTATTATTTAGAATAAAGTATGTCACCTAGTGTTTCCACGACATCAGTTCAGTAGATATTGCTCTCCCAATTTTCAGCTACTTGCTTTTCTCTTCTTCATTGTGTATTTTCAGTACAGTTGTCAATCTGAGTAAAAACTACTTTCTCAAATTCTGGTTTCCACTGTAAATGTTCAAGCTGTTGGTGCTTCCTTTTTGCTGAAATTCCCTTTAATTAAACTGCTTGTTGAACTAGTGTGTTGTCTTTCCATCTCAAGGTGGCCTTTTTTCCTCTCTGTGGACATCATGTAAGAGAACTGGGAGTTTTCCACAAAGACTTCCCCCATTTAAAGATGAGTGGCTGCTCGCTGGACCTTTATAACTGCAGGGACCCTTTAGCACATAACATGGGTACTTCATGCTCCAAGGTCTGCTTAGCCACCAATTAGCCTGCTGTTTTGAACAGTTAATACATCAAGCAAACTCCTTGTGCCCATCAGCCTCCCAAACATAGAAAGCCCTGGTGAAATGGAATTAATGTGGAAGGGCTTGCTGAGGAGCAGGAGATTATGGCCTGGGGAACAGAGGACAAGCTGACAAAAACCTGCTGCATCCTGGGTCCCACTAGAGTTTTCATGGTCCTCCTTTCAGCACAGGTTTGTGTCCTCCTTGCTTTGAAAACAGCCAGGATAATGCAGATTAAAGTCAATGCAGATGCAAGACAATTCACAGATCATACTTCCATAAAATGCAAATATTTGGAGAAGCGTTTGGTAGCACAGTTGATTTACAGAGACTGGCTTGCTAAAAAAAAAATGCATGTGTATAACCAGGAGTTGACTGCTTTGGAACTGAAAGCATAATGAAGCAGAGTTTTCTTTGGAAGTCATGGCCCTATGGACCAGAATGGAAAGCTTTTACCCCCTTCTGCTAAAGTACAGAAACAGACCTTGTAAAATTAGTGTATTTGTGTGTGTGTTTGATGATCTGGCCTTAAAAGTATTGCAGGTATTGACAGTTTACCAAGGTTCCACAGTGTCAGTCTTGTGTTTAGTGAGCAATTTAAAAACCAGGACTTTCAAAGATAAGCTGGAAATCTTGCCAAGTATTTCTGCAAAAACTGTTCCTAAACATATTCAAACAGCACTGCCACTCTCACGGGGTGCAGCTCTCCGTGCAATCTGCTACCTCAGCACAGCAAGGTTATTCTGCTGTGCTCGCGGCACAGGACTCTGGTCCCAGGACTGGCTCAGGGCCCAAAACTGCAGCTGCTCCGCATTCGGGACTGCTTCTGTTGAGCTCCATGGGAATCGCATGGTGACAGCAGCAGCTATAAAGGATAAACGAAGTGTTTGACCCTGGGTAGGTTACCTGATGGCTTTCTGGCATTTCGGATCTCTCAGGTGGAAATCTAGATTAAAAGCAGGAGTTGAAGGAGTATTGGCCATGCTGACCTTTTGTAAGTGAGTAAATGGGGGGGTTTTGTACCTTCACTGAAAGGTCAAATACACTAAAAAGTAAATGAAGAGCTAATAGGACTTTTCAACTCAGTGGGTGAGAGATTTTAATTAACTGTAATACAGTAGTGTCACAAAACATTTAAAATATTTTATAATAGACCTTGTATACATTGTCTGGGTCTAGGAGAATCTCTGTGATGTCTGCCTAATGGTACGCGTGTTCAGGATACGTTTTTCCCTGATTTTCCTTTCTAAAAATAAAGTTTAAAGGGTATTAACTGGTGCTGTAAAGAGGGTAAAAAAATGAATGCCACAACTTTAACATCTCACACACCATTCAGAAACACTGAAGCAGAACCTTCACCAAACCAAGGAAACCCCTCCCCTGGATCTAAGTGAGCAGTATTGCAGGACAGCAGAATTAAGCTGCACCCTAATGACAGAAGAGGCTGTGACCTACAGTAACTGAGTCATTTCACACCCACAATAAGGAATTGCTTTCTGAAATGTCAGTGCTGCTCATCCAGAACTTTGTTCCTTGGTCTGGGACAACTGATAAGAGCGACGGCAGCTGCCACGCTTACTACAAATTGTCGACGACCAGGAAACATCAGCTCACAGGATGGCCAAATGCTGTGGAGAAAGCAAAAAAGAGGACTTCTGTCCATGACCACAGGCAATGAGCCTCCCACACGGACACGTGCTGTGTCTTAATTGACTGGTGTTACTCCACATTTCTCTCACCCCGTGGAGAGTCTTTTCCTGCCTAAGAATCCACTAAGACTTTTGGATAGTTGTTGAGGAGTCAGACTATACCACTGCCATCAGAGGGCAAGAGGATAAATTCAGACTAAGCTCCAAAAAGCCACAGCTGATAAACTTGGGGGAATATCATAGCATGTGGGCTGGCAGGGGAGTTCCAGTAGCTCAGACATCATCAGGTCCCAGAGCAAACCTGGCTACAGGGAGAAAGGCTCATCATCATGCACACCATTGAGAGCATCATTCTCCAATGTTTGACTCCATTCCCTAGGGAGCCTCCACAATCAGGTGAGTCATTCAGGCAGAATTAGCCAGGTTAATTTAAACAGTTTAAATTCCACATAATTCAAGACAGGGAAGAATCAATGTATTCTCAGCAACCCCATGCTATCACTAACCTTACTGAAGAGTGCCTGCACAGGTATCTGCTCTGTTCTGAACTGGAACAAGTGGGTTTAGAAAAACTACCTTTTATAAACTTCTATTTTTTTAAAAAGACATAAACAATCCACTCTGGCCTTTCTGGTCTTAATATGGAAAACTAGTAGATTATTTCTACTAACAAGTAAAATGGGCAGCCAGCTTTTGATAATAACAAGAGAGACACTGACCTGAAGTCATCACTGTAAAACCTGTGACTGGAGGATCCCACCAGGGTATCAGGAGCTACCAGGAAGGTAAGTATTCATTGGAAAATAGGTGAATTTGCAAATTGGGTCAATTAACCCCAATTAGTTCCTTGGGCTGAAACACTAATGGAAGCGTGGCGAGCTGTAGCTCTGAGCTCAGAGGCAAGCTTACAGGGATCCGAGAATCGAACTTGAGATCAAAAAGGGTTCATTGAAGTTCACACTAAATTGCTTTGCTTTTTCTGCTATTTTAACTATGTCAGCTAAGGCAGGTTAGGAAAGTCTGCCAAGAAATCACTGCCAGACCCAGTGAAAACATGCAGGAAAGTGGGTCCCCTCTCAGACTCCCAGGACACTGGATAATAGCCACTTAACATCTCCCATGACAAAGCCTCCCCAAAGACTGTACCTTACACACGTGTGCAATAAAGAAGTGCTGTGATTTCGTGTCAGATGAAGGGCTCCTGTCCCTGTTGTGGTGCGCTGTTGCACCCACGCAGGTGTAATGCTACGTCTGCCTGGCGGGATCACAGGAGCACGTCCTTGTGCTCTGCTTTGTTCCCGGGTGCCTTTGTCGGTCTAGGCTGTTGTAATTTCTAAGCTATTGGTTTTGATCACTTGTCCTTACAATGACTTATGGTTTCTGTATGCTTTAAGTGCATGATTGGTTCCTTTGATTTCTTCTCTGAGAAGTTAATATCACACACTTCAAAGGCAACCAACAGAAGCCTTGTGCAAGAAGGCTATAATGGTACATTTTGGGATTGCATAATTTTGGCATGAACTCTGGAAAATTCTCCTTTACTGCCACATCTCCTAGCTGGCAAGTTAGCTTATCTCTCAATAGACAGTAACCCTTATTTTACCTACTCTAACTTCAGTTATTCTTGTCATTCAAAACCACTTCATGTTTTGCTCCAACTCTACTAAGCTCTGAAATCCAATAGTATTTTCTTTTTTCCCTGAGCACAATTTGAAGACATTAGGAAGTCAGGATTCCCACCTCGTAATAACATGGACTGCTTGAGTCATTAAAGTTAGTCCCACCAACAAGCAATAATTTGTTAATTTGTTCTGGGGCTGTCTGTTCCTGGCCCTGCTGCACACCATGGAGCAGAACACAACCCTGAATCTCACTTCAGGCACAAACCCTAATAAAAGAGCAAATGCTGCAACTACAATTGACTGTCGGAAGGGAAAGGAGATATGGAAGGTATTGCCATTTCTCTGGATCCCTGAAAGGGCATTGGCTCTATCAAATTAAATTTTCATATTCCCAAAGGTACACAATCCATTCTACAGCAGGCAGCAAAGGATTCCAGTGGTTCCTACAGCAAAGGCATACAGGGAATCTGCTCTTTCAGCTACTGCAGAATAAGAAACAAGGATATGAATTTTGATACAGGCAAGTTAATTGATCAGTAATTAATGCATTAGCAGATGTGAACTGGAAAGTTATTACTGGAATGATTGGAAACATTCCAGTCACCTACATCCACTGAGACTTTTGCTGTTTATGGTATCACATGGACTGAGACTTTAAGCAGAGAGCTTCAGTTTTCCACTTGGGTTTTCCTACATAATCCTGGTAAAGACTTTCCTACATAATCTTGGTGAAGTCTTCTAGGACAGGGTAACCTTCCCCAACATTTACCCTCTAAGCTGGGGTCTAGTTTAACCTAAACCCTGTTAGAAAGAGTCAACCAAGCAATCTCAGGAAATGTATCTCAGAGACGGGATGAACTGCCCACTGGATGTGATTCTACCTTTCTCCTTGCTGCAGAGAGAGCCAGCAGACTTTCAAGCCTCAGGCAGCTAATACTGAAATATGCAGCTAAAAAAGGAGACGAATTCCTGCCCTAACACCTCTGTGTTACTCACCCACCTAGAAAGATGAGGATAATTCTTCCTTTCCGCACAGATACACTGTGAGTTCACATACAATACTGGTTGTGAAGCATTCAGACTTTTTGGAGGAAGAGCATCTAATTTCTTAGCTCATGAATTAATTAGGATTATTTATCTATGTCAAAGCTATGTAAAACTTCGTGCAACTATATCTTCCTTCAAAGGTTTGCCTGTTTTGATTTTCTTCACTGTTATTTTGTTTGGCACAATTTGTTCTTAGAGCAAGTTGAGAGAAGAGTAAATACCTGGTTAGTAGTTGAGCAAGTAAAGATTATATGTTGTTGTCTTTTTAGCTGCTGTTTTCTGTGAAGTCTTACACATGTAAACAATTTATTGAGATCCGAAAGGATCACCTATTAGTGCATATCTGCACGATTTTTTCAGGATCAGGGCCTTAGCTGTGTGATCTGCTAGCAACTGAAATATTAAAATAATCTCATTTCTCCAACAGTATTAGACATTATCAGTATTAGACATTATTAGTATTAGACTGTAATATCAGTATTAGAGTCAGACACAACTTTCATTCTAACAGCCCTTTTCAATGATTCTGTCTGGTTGTCTCAATTTTTTTTTTCCCCAGAGAGAAAATTCAAATATCTGAGCATTCCAGATTACTGGAATGCATCTAACATAGATGAGGTCTTGAGTTCAGCACTGTGGTTTTTTCCAGCATCTCTTCATAGCTTGATGCCATTTCTCTGTTCATCTATTATTCATATACGTTCTTGTCCCATGTCTATCTGAAGTGTTACTTGTAACTGAAGTACTTGGAACAGATAACTGCATCTAACACAACTGTCAGTCTCGTGCTTCAGTAATAAAGGAAATTGTGACCTAAAGGAAGCTTAGCCCAGGTCGCTGATGAGTGATACAAAGATGTCATTGGGCCTTTGGACAGCACTGCATGGCCTTGTTGTGTGTTAGAACAGCTAAAAACTGAGAATCTGCTCCTACTGCTAGTGGCACACTGCTGTAGTAGGGCATGTAAAATTGCAGTAAGCTGGCCTTGGTTTTATATTTCATTTTTTGTACCAAAGACATCTAGATTCTTAAACAGAGTTAGAATACTTAAAATGAGCAAAAGCATTTCTAATCAGTAGAAATACAGGTGAACAGTCAGTACTAACTCAGCAGTGGCTCAAACATAGTTCTGGATGCAAAAAACCAGGAACTCCTTACCCATAGGGGGAAACACAGCTTATCAGAACCTCTCTTTTTTCCCACTTTTTTGGACATAGACATTTCCTCTGTCAAAATGGGAGCTTCCATGGAAAATGCTGATCCTTGATAATTTGTTTGAGGTTATTTAGACCTCACACTGAATTCAGTGGATCTTTACATACAAGTAAAATCTTCTAAGACACTAAATAAAATGCAATGTGTAGTGACCAAGTCCATGAGCTCAGTGATTACCTTTCCTAAAAGCCTCCGTTTTTTTTCATTTGCTGTGCATAGCTCAAGTGGTCAGCCCAGAATTAGATGTCCATTTCTCTGGTAATGTCTGGGACACTGTGGAGATGGCAGTGCAGTCTCTGCTTTGAAACAGATTTTTGTTTCCAAAAAATGGATGTAGTCATACAAATAATAGTTACAAGTTTTATTTTTGCCCTCTTTTTGGAGCAGGTGTACAAAATAAATCTCTCACTTCTCCTGAGAAAAGAAAGAAGCATGGGTACAATGTACAAATTCAGTTTTTCAAAATCACGTCAGACACAAGTTACACAGGTAGTAATGCTCACACCTGACATCTGCATTTCATTTATCTCTCTATGGAAACTTTTATACCTGCTGACCCGCATAAACAGACGAAAAGTCCTTGGGCCCATTTACTTTAAGGCAACTGATGCATACTTAGGATCTAAATGCTGATTTCAGTGGTAACTCAGATGTGTGAGGAGGACCTGGATTTTAATGCTTTAAATAGCTTAATGAATCATAGAATCATAGAATGGTTTGGGTTGGAAGGGACCTCACAGACCATTTAATTCCAACCCCCCTGCCATGGGCAGGGACACCTTCTACTAGACCAGGTTGCTCAAAGCCTCATCCAGCCTGGCCTTGAACACTTCCAGGGGTTGGGCATCCACAGCTTCTGTGGACAACCTGTTCCAGTGCCTCACCACTCTCTCCATGAAGAATTTTTTCCTGATATCTAATCTAAATATTTAGTTTAGCAGGGCTAGCTGTATAACTGCCTTACAGCAGTAATGCCATCTTAGCTTATACACTTTCTGCCTCATGCTTGAGAACCCCAGCCTGAAATCTACCAGGGATGTAATAACTGCCTGATCTGTAATAAACTATAGGTTAGAAAACTGATAACCAACCTCAGGAGAGACCTCCGTTATTCCAAACTGGGATAAACTCTGATGCAAAATGTTGATATTAAGGGAACGCAGCACTTCTTCAGAGGGGAGAGCCTCAGAAATTCCTGGCTTTCTGTTCAGTGGGGACACAAACAGTTCCACACAGTTCTTCTTTCCCTAAAAAAAAAAAAATAATGCAGAATCAAAGGAAGGGTCTGAAATTAAATAATCTCTGCTGTCTGTAGACTGTAACTATAATTCCAAAACAAAAACATGGACCATAAAGGCTGCAACCTGCTCTGTGAAGAGAGTATACCTATTCCCTGACTCCTTAAAGCCCAGCTGACTGTGCAAGAAAATGCAAATACCATACGTGGGCATGAATGCTTTGTCTCCACTACTGACAAGGTACCCTCTTCCCGAGTCTTAGTACCCTTGAATAAGACAGGTCAGTGTAACATGGTGAGGGGAGGAGCCATGGGACAGTGTCAAGGGCAAAGTGCCAGCAGGGATTTTAGCAGCTAGTTCATCTGATCTGAGCTGAAATGCAGCCTTGTTTTAGAAGGTGGTCCTTAAACAGGAACGTTCACTATAACGCTGTGGTATTTTGGCACTGCTTTCTAAGCCTGTGTCAACACATTGCAGACACAATACCACAAGGAAGTATAAAGTCCTTTTAGTCAACTGCAGTGCAAGTGCTTAAAATGGCACAACAAAATGAAAGGACCAGAAAAGTTTTGTTTACATGGTAAGCTGAGAATGCTTGACCTTCCTTTTATTAATTCCTGCCTTGGTTTTTGATGCAGTCCCAGTAGCCCAAGGGGTGCTGTATTAAAGATGTCAGTGATGCTCATTGTGTCGCAAGGGAGCAAAATGAGAGACTGCCACAGGGTTCCTCTGGTTGTAATAGACTAGAAGAGCACCTGGGACCAGTGCTCCAGACAGTGGTGGTGTCCAAACAGGGTGTGGGAACCCAGGCTGCCCAGGGCTATGGCCAACTTAGATGAGGCTGTGATGCCCAGACCTGGGGGGTAGCACGCACACAAGGTAAGTGTGGAGCTACTACCTGCATAGCTGCCTTTCCAGCCAAGAAACTCACCCATCTGGTTATTCACCATTCACCGTCATGGGACGGGAGATACCAGTTCATACAGGGGTAATCCTGGTTTCCTCTGCCTCTGTCCCCTCACCTTGAATGTGCAATATTATCTGTGCTGCAGTGAAGAAAAAGACATCTTTTGCTATTTTTAAAATGTCCAGTTTTGATATTCAGAAGTAGAGCTGCACAGAAAGGGATGCTTTCAAACATGCTTACCCTGAACTTGCCCTCTCTGCTCTCACATGTGCCACCGGTCTACCTGCTCAAAAGACTGGTAAGGACACTGGCTACTTGTGGGACTGGGCATTGTTCAGTGGCGCTGTTCAGATCAGCAGGGTGAGAGAAATGAAAACAGACCTAGAGGTCTGGACTGACAGTTCCAGGCAGACTGCAATGAGGCTGAAGAAGCTGATGTGGGGTTGTGGTCCCACTTGGCCTCTGATGCAGGTAGGTAGGTGGCTGGTTTGGGGTGTAGGTGGCAGGCAGAAGGCAAGGCTTGGTAGAGACGCAGCATTCCCACTGTTTTCATACCTCCTCTGTGTAGGAGTTCCTCTGCCCTTTAAAAGGCCTTTATGGGAGGAAGATTTACTGGAAAGTTTAAGGAGACACTCGGAATGCCCAGTTACTATTTCCTGGCACGCTATGTGTTGTTACATGTCAGAAGCTAGCAGGCATTGCCTTCTCCCTGTGCCCAACCCCATCCTGGCTGCTAGACTCCTGATCGCTTCTGAGAGCTGCTTATTTGCGAGGGCACCAGCTCACCTCTCTGGCAGTCATCCAAACTACCTCCAAAGTCAGTGGAGAGAAACTGGCATCCCCAGAGAATGATTTTATCCATCCTAAAAAACTTGGGATCTCAATGCCTCTCCTTCTGCAGTTACCTTTCCCTGTATTGCTTTTACAGGGTGCTTGGATGAGTAGCTCAGACTAGGCTGAAGTGACGTGAGATGAGTTCTGATGTGCCCTGCTTGCTTGTCAGCACTCTGCATCATGTTAGAAGGATGCAAAGTGGGAATAATGTCTCCTAAGAGGTATTTTTCTTCCTTGTGAATGTTGATTTTCTGTGTGTGATTTTTAGGGAAAATAGGGTAAAATTGCATTCTTCCTTATATCATAAAAATATTAACTCATAGCAGACTTTTACAAATGTTGGAGGACCAGTTAATTAATAGTACTTACTGTATTCTGAACTATGCAGGTGCGAAATGACATTACCTCTTCCCTTGGATCACAGATCAGAGGAGAAAAGGAAAAGCTGTGGGGTCAGTGGGAAAATAAACAGCATATTTCTTCTGCTTAGTTACATAATTTCCACAGCGCATAGTGAGAAAGCTACTAAGTGACTTAGTATGTTGAAATACGCACCCCAAACTCTGGAACATTTCTCATTTAATTGTGCTTTTCTCTGAATATGTCTTCCAACCTTTCATTATGGTTAATGCAGGGGACAAAGGAGATTTAGCATCACTTGTCAGGAACGAGTGACATCCCTGGTGAACATGAAAAGGGTTGCATTGCATTCCTATTGATCTTTTCGGCTGTGCTTCTTGTGTGATCCCTTCTCATGGAGACATTATTTGAAGGGGTTTTATAATCCTTTTTGATGTATATGATCCTATCAAGCTATCAAAGCAGGAAATACTTTTATGCTGAACCTGTCAGTTTTCTTCCCTAATATTCAACCTGCCTGTAGAATAAAATTAAATAACTCTTCTTCCCTCTGCCACATGAACTGAATGATAGGAATACACACATGATGTTGGGTTTTTTTGCTTCATGGCAGAACTGTTGTAAGAAGGCAAGAGTATTAAGGATGTATGCTCCTAACCACACACAGAAAATCACTCAATAACAATTGCTTTTTAAAAAAATCTTTGTTGCTAGAAGCAAATTTGTTGACTTTTGCAAATATGATACCATACTCTACAAGATTATAACTGAGCATAGATTGTTACAGCTGAATAGCAAAACATGAGTATTAATATTGTGAGAAGATATTTAATTTCCTAATGGAAAGTCTGAGGATAAATTGTGAAGATGCCTTTGAAAGGCAATCACATGTATTTTCTGAGCAATATTCAACCTTTGAGAAACAAAACTTGAATAAGTGTTTCTTAATGAATGTGATGTAGAACTGCATTGGAATGAAAACTGAGGGATAAGCAATTTGTTTATGAATAGGACACAAGAGATATTTATCTGAGTTAATTTTTCTCTAGACTGTAACTGAGAATAGTTTCCTTTCAGAAGAAAATTTAACCCATTTTATAAAGGAGATCTATTTTTCTGTTGTATAGTAAAAAAAAAAAAACCTGGAAAAAGTATTTTTCTGTCCTATGTTATTACACTTTTCCATAGTGACAGGAAAATAAATTTAAGAGTATTAAAAACAACCAGGTACATTTTATTATACACAGCTCTTTGGTACTTACAATGAGTCTGTTGATATGAACTTGCTGAGGTAACAGTCCCAGTGCTGCTGCCACTCCTTGGCGAAATATCCGAAGCAATGTGATATTCAGCTTGTTTACATCCATTTGCAGTGTCTGAAAAACAAAACCAGTTTAAGTGAACTCCTTGCTCAACATGTTCAGTTCTCAAGATGCTTGATGTCTGGTACTGTTCACTAATTGTTTTTTTCCCAGAATGATAATCTGTGCAATCTATTCGCATCCCAATAAAGAATAATTCCAAAGGAAAATTAAAGCATCTTAAATGCTGCTCATTAGCAAAGTACAACCTTTCCTCAACTACATTCAAAACAGGTTCCAGAGGTTTTTGGCTAAATTCCTTGGACAAGTCACAGTGTTCAAGATAACGCAATTACTGTATTAAAAATGAAAGTGAAGCATTAAACATCGATTCACCTTTAAAGAATGAGATTTACACAATGAAGATTCGCTTTGAATATTATCTTACCAATTCTCCCTGCAGGTGAAGAATGAGTCAGACATAGTGAAATTACACAATTTTAATTTTGATTAGCAGTTTCTGAGATCAAAAAAGAAACATTCTGGATACATTCCACATGCTTGAATTTCCTAAAACTTCCTCATATGAGTCAGAGAAGGCTATTAATTCTCAGCAGAGACCAACCATATCACTGAAGCATTATCTTCATGTCAGAATCATAGTGAAATTTAAATGTTTCCTCAAGTTCAAATCCTTCCTGTGAAGCCAGTGGAATTTCACCCATTTGATTTAGATTCAAATCTTGTTTCCAAGAAGACCCAGATATGGGATCTTCACATGATGCCTGGTGGTCAGTACTTCCATGTGTTTTTTGGGGTCCCTTTTACCCCTTCACAGACAATATGTAGCGGAGAAGGGAGGGAAGAGGAACATATCAGACAGTCCCAGAAGGCTTCCAATGTTTCTGGCAACTTCTGAATTAGGAGGTTAGTAAGTTCTGAGTGAGCCAGTTGACTGGAGCTGAAAAGAATTTTTTATTTTAAACTTCCTATTTAGAGCCATGGGCCAGCTTGCTGCTCTGGGGATCCAAGCAAGTATTCTTCCTTCCTAACCAGAGCTTCATAAAGAGAATTAAACATCCATGGGTCAGACATCACACTGGGAATATGGTTATGGTCTAGAAAGAAAGGCAACTCTTTTAGCAAAGAAAAGCAGCATCACACAGTTTGACTGCTGCTCTTTATTTAAAAGTAAGTATTTGTAAGTTATGTAAAATATAAAATATTTACTTTCCCTTTCCACTGTCAATTTGATTTCTCTGTCAGTATTGAGTGGTTTGGGGTTTTTTTTTTCTTTTTTTTCTCATTTTTTTACACTAATGGGATTGTCAGGTCATGATGCATCAACAGAGATCTGCTTTCACCATACAGTTGAGCTTTATTTAATTCAGCCAGAAGTATTATAGGATTCTTGAATTTAAATCACTCTTTCTACCCTGGCATTTTCAAAATGCAAAATCTTCTTCCTTTGCTTCTTCTTGAATTAGACAGACATCCTGAGTGGCTATAAAACTGCTCCAGCTTTGTCACTGAAACAGAGAAATATCTTGAGAGGGGACATGTGGAGATCCAGCAGATCTGAGCACCATTTCTCCTGTTCCCCAGACTGGCTCACTCCAGCCACTGTGCACTTGAGCAGCACAGCAGACAGGAGTGGGTTTGGAGCTGTGAAGCCATCACTACAGTTAAAGTTGACAGCCTGCTCTGAGGATCCTGGGTAAATAAGAAAGGCAGTTGTTGCTGAAACAGGAAGGCTGCTATGAGGGTCCCTAGAGATCCATCGGGATGGTATAAAGAGCGCGAAACTGCTTGTCTAAGTCAGTTATCCTGAGTTATGGGGATAATGTTAATTTATCACAGAATCATAGAATGGTTTGGATTGGAAGGGACCTTAAAGATCATCTAGTTCCAGCCCCCCTGCTATGGGCAGGGACACCTTCCACTAGACCGGGTTGCTCAAAGCCTCATCCAGCCTGGTCTTCAACACTTCCAGGGATGGGACATCCACAATTTCTCTGGGCAACCCATTCCAGTGCCTCACCACCCTCTCTGTGAAGAACTTCCTGATATCTGATCTAAACCTCCCCACTTTCAATTTAAACCCATTACCCCTTGTCCTGTCACTACAGGCCCTTGTAAAAAGTCCCCCCAGCTTCCTTGTAGGCCTTGTTACTTGTTACTGAGCAAAATTAGCAAGCATAAAATAAAAATACATTCACTTAAACATACTTGAGCCAGGAATCACATCACATTAAATGTTAAACAGTGTGTTAAGAGCTCACTGATAAAGACAAAGAAATAGTCAGAAAAATATCCTGCTTCAGACGAAATAGGATATCTTAAAGAGACCGTAAGGAGGTCATAAATTCATATAGGTTTAGTATGCTGGGATTGTGGTTCATATCCAGGGACAATGAAACGTGGGGAATTTCCATTTTCTTCAGGAGAGTCATATTTCCTTTTACCAGGTCTGAATTTGGTTCACCGTGTCCTATAACAAGTAGTCATAAGTAGCTGCACAGTACGTGTGTCTCTAACAGCTATATCTATATTGTCCTGGGTGGTTCTGGGGTAAGCCTGAAGACCATAGCACTCGCTCTGCCAGTCTGGTGTCAGCCTGCTTAGAAAGCTCACCTGGCCTTGCAGGTGGAGATTTCAGGACCCTTTTAGGAAACCTCCTAAGAGGGTAGGAAGAAATTTGTCCTTAAGCCTCATTTCAGGGTGCTTCTTGTGCAGTTATAAAGATTTTTTTGGTGACTATTCACCAAAAAAAGCCCAAGAAGTATCCAAAGTAGAAAAAGCTCACAATTCTTAAAAGAACCTTGCCTTGCTGTCCATTGAAGGAATCTGCTTCTCCATTCCTGGTGTTAGTGTGAAGCTTAGTTCCTTGGCAATTACAGTAAAAAATAAGTAACAGTAACACAGGCCACTTTTTCTACATAAGGCAGCTCAAGAGAGTGCATTTGCCTCTTCCTACCAAGAGGCAAGTTAACAGTCCAGAATCTGCCATCTTAGGAATGGATTTCCAACTCAATCAGTGAAAGATAACATATAGAAATGCTCAGTGGGACCCCGAGAGCACCTGCTATAGAGTAAGCAGCACATAACAAATGTGCTCTGTGCTCTCTATTGCCCCCTTGTTTGTACTGGATTTGTAAAAGCATAAAGCAGGAGTGGACCAGACTGGAGATACATCAATTTCACTGTCCTGTGGCCAACTCTGGATACTTACAGAAAATCATAGGAACAGGGCAAGATAATACTCTATTCCCAAGCTCTTTCTGACAAGATCCAGGCTAATTTATGCCTAGTCACTACTAAAAGGCAATGGGGCTGATATATTACATGGATGTTACAATACAATAACCCATACTGACACTATCAATACCTGGGATGAACACAGGACTTGGGGGCATTATTCTCAACTCTGGCATGTGCCCTCCCGAAGCCGACTGAAATTTAATTCTGACCTAACGGTCTGATACAAAATTGCCTTTCTGAAAATTCCCAACTTTAACAATTTTAGTTGAGAAAAGTTAGCCAAAGAAAGAAAAAAAAAAAAGAAAAAAAAAGAAGGAAGGTAGAGAAGAGAAAGAAAAAGTAAAGTTTTAACTATTCCTACTATTTACTATAGTAGAAAATTTCTAAAATATTACTAAAATTTTAATATTTTAATATTATTGTGCCATTCTGATGCCATGTCTAGATACTGTGTTGACTACAGTCCATAAAGGTAAGAGATTAGGATAGAAAACTGATAATGGATGAACCACAAATGCAACAATACCTGTACATTAGACAAGCAACATAAACTATCACTAAGAGAATCACTCCTAGAATGGAAACCTGTCCAGCCATTTACAGGATATAATTACACAGATGAAATCATTATGTATTCTAACACCACCTGCAATAAAACATGAAATTAACCCCTGTAAAGTAAATCCATAGGAAGAAATAAACCAGAGCATTAGCACAGATACACAAGTTATCTCTTACTGTGTTCCTCTAGTTGCTCCTTTTTCTTTGGAAAAGAAAGGGCTGAAGCATCCCAGCTAGACAGCACTAATCATTTACCCTTTGCTCATCTGAAGTGTTTATCATGGATTGCAACCAACTCCCCAAGGAGTTTACATTTTGAATCCGCTGCCACTGTTGGCAATAGCGACTTGTAGAGCCTAGAGGCGAACACTCTGGAGGGCTCATTTCCCTGAGCAATTACCGACCTCGGTAGTGCAACTGTAGCCACAGTTTCTAGGTTTATCTGATCCAAGCAAAACAGGTACTTTGAAGGGAAGGAGTTTGAAGGAGTTTTCTGCTTGTAGTGGAAAACTTGAGAAGACAGAGTTCTAGAGAAGGAAACTCAATACAAAACAACATGAAAAACCATTCACAACTGAGATTCTACAGGGGCTTTTGATAAAGATTTTCATGTTAAAGCAAAAAAATCCCAAACCCCATCATGAATGTGATGAATGGTTAACACAGTTTCTGAAACAATATTGTTAGGATCTTGCAATAAATTATAATTTGCTAAGTCGAGTTCTGCTTCTCAAGAAAAACCTAGAGATGTCTCCTTTTCTTATCTTTTCCTTCTCATCAGTGATATAATTTCTGCAATGAGCCTCAACTACATCATTCCTTTTCTATACATTGGTTACTCCCCTCTAAACTCTTCCTGACACCCCCTACCACAGGTGTTTTGTCAAACCTTCAGCTAACCTGAATATACAGGAAGAAAAATAATCAAGGTTGAAGAAGGTTAACGTATAAGTCTTCACAATGTGTTTATGAACAAAGATTAAATGTAAATCAGCAAAATATACATACCAGGAATTTTACATACTTAAGGGCCATTGGGTACTAAGTTTCATTTTGTGCTAAAACCAAAGAAAGGAAACTCTAAACACGAAAATAAAAATAATCACCCCTATTTACTTAAGCCAAACTAAAGAGAAAACTCAGAAAAGAGTTGTCTTACCTGCCTGTGCTCCACTTATTTATTTATAAGGAAGTCACCAAAAATGCTATAAAAAATCTTTGCACTGAAGCAAATAAAGGGTTGTGGCTAGGCTG